GCGCCTGTCAGCTTTTCCCGCCAACGCCATTGACGCAGGCCTAGAGCTTGGTGGTCCCTGCAATTGACTGAGGGAAGCTGGGCTTGGCGTCTGTGGTCCCCAACGTGGGGCATTGCGGTCCACCAGGGAGGAGAAAGCTGGGTCAGCGACACACAGTTGCTGGGGAGTCAAGGGTGCCGAACACTCGGCGTGATGGGCTCTGTGAGCCGGTGCGAGGGCCCTTGAGAACTAACTGTGGTGTCCCTTATAGGTGTTGGCGTGCCCGGTCCTCGTCTCATGTCCAGTCCCCTTCGTGTGTGGGCCTCTTCATGTCTGGTAAAACTTTTGCAGAATCGTTCACAGTCTGGGACGTGGCGATGAACACGACCAGGTCACTGTTCTTTCAGTTTACATCTGTATGCGGAGGAGGAGCAGATAATTAGGCAAAAGTATAGTTTGCTTTAGCTTTTCAAGAGGTTAAGGGGTGGGCTCTTGGAATCCACAGCAGCTCTCCCGAAGAAAGAGCTGATGATCTGCCGCAGTAGAGTACAGCCTAGAAAACCAATGGGGTGGTTCTCCTCTGTCACATGGGGTCGCTAGGAACAGGAATTGGCTACCTGGCACCCACCAACAGCAATCCTTTGTGGGATTTCCCCGGGTGCTCTTGAGCACCCCACTATTAGCCAAAAGATTGGTGAACCCACCCTGAGGCACCTCGGAAGACAGGCCTGGTGATCCACTCCTGTAAAGATTGCTGTTGTTTTTAGGTCCCATCCAGCTGGCTCTGACTCATAGCAACCCTATGAACAATAGAACGAAACGCAGCCTGGCCCTGTGCCAGCCTCACAATCCTTGCTGTACCTGAGCCCACTGCTGCAGCCACCTTGTCAATCCATCTCATTGAGGGGCTTTCATCTTTTTAGCTGACCCTCCACTTTACCAAGCGTGATATCCTTCTCCATGGAATGGTCCTTTTGACAACATGACCAAATCAGGTGAGATGAAGTCTGGCCATTCTCGCTTCCAAGGAGCATTCTGGCTGCGCTTCTTCCGGGACAGATTTGTTAGTTCTTCTGGCAGCCAATGGTACCCTCAGTATTCTTCACTAACACCAACACTTGCAAAATTACAGCCTAGGAAGCCCTATGGTGCAGTTCTACTCTGT